ATGGAATGTAATATATATATATCTTTGTAAAAATAATTTTATGATTTACTATTACCTGACCAAAGGTCAGATGAGCAGGACATTTACTACAGTTTTTCATCTTGATAGTCAGTATGTTGTGCTATCAAAGGCCTTTTATATAGCTAACTATACATTATTGGTTTTACTCATTGTTGAAAGCCATATGGTATTTGGTAATCTGTAGAAGTTAAAAATCATTGTCCTTTGTTTTTTTTTTGGTGGATAGCTGTCAAATTGGCAATCATACCAAATCTCTGTATTTTTATATGGAAAGAAATGGAAAATTTACTGACTTAATGTTGCCATAATCCCATGAAGTCTGTTAGCAGTTTCATATTTATGGGAGCGATCTTCACCAATTATTTTAGCATCTTTGAAATATCAAGCTATAATCACAGTGGCCTAATGTTATTTCTGAACAGGGAAAGCTAGCACTTCTAGGGTACCAGATATCACTAAATATTTATGAGAGTCAATATTACCCTAACATTAGTTATAGTGTTGTTGCTTGTATGATATAGTGTTGTTTTGATCGTTAAATGTTGCTTGTGTTTTGGTCTGTACTGGTCTGTTTTCAGGTTTTTCCCTCTTTCATTGTCCCTTTGGATTTTCAGTTAATGACAGATACTGACAGTTTTTGTTTGTGTTTTGGTAATACTTCATATAGATTTACAAGAAATCCTCTAAAATCCACATTATGAAAGCTTATTTCAAAAATAAGTTTATATGGTCATAGTCTAGTATTCAGATAACAACATTATGAAAGAGTACCAAAAATAAGTTTGTGTGAGGTTTATTTATGTTAGGGATTAGAGGGATTAAGTAGAAGGGTTAAAAGAAACAAAAATAATATGTTAGAGAAAACAAATGATCATACACTAAGTGGTCTGTCTTTCAGATGTTGATAAATAGAGGGATATACCTTGTAAGGAGATTATTGTGTAATGCTCTCTAAATATTTACTTAGAAAAGAATATTTTTAACACCTAAGTATCATAATACCTTACAGAAACTTAACTTTATGACTTATAAAAGTGTTAGTCAATTAAACTCAACAGTTTAAAGTAAAAATGCTCTTCAAATAGGAATACAAGTCTTAGGATTGTTGAAAATATGCAAAAATGTTTAAAATGCATTCCAAAGGTAGGATGAATTATTTTTTTTCCATTTTTTATCACCCCTCCAAAAAAAAAAACATTAGAAAAAGAAAAAAATACAGGTATTTAGTTTCTGAAATTACTTTTTTTGGAAATTATGCAGGTTCTCAAATGCATGTTTGAAAAATGGATCCAAAAATTATTTAAAAATGTATTATTTTCTAAAAGACTGTGTTTTCAGAAAAAATGGACCACAGCCTTCACAACTAGAATTGATTTTGAACACAATTGAGCAGACAGCATAAATTTGTAATGCATCCATGGTATAATTAAACTCAGCAAGTCCTTGAATCAAAAAGTAATAAAAAAGTTTTGTAATTGATGTAGAAATCAATAGACCTCAGTAATTGCATTTAGCAAATAATCAAAGCTATAAAAAGTATCAGAGCAAAAAACTTTTGAAACCTGAACAGAACAAGGATATCTGATACATACAAAAAGCGCACAAAGGACTGCATCAAATAATTTCCGTCTCAAACTGAAGGTTGATAGCAAAATGTTCACATTTCCACCTGTTAAAGGATTTAAATGAAGTTAAATTATATAAACTTTAATTTCAAAGGAAGGAGAGCATGTCTAACACTTATTTGATGTAGTAAAGTATTGAAAGATATCAAGTTAATATGACATTTGTATTACCCCACTGTATGTATTGAACAAAAACATACAATTAAAGTATTGAAATTCATTTTCGTTATGACATAATGTATTAATTTTTGGTTGATTAAATTTTACCTTCTCTGTCACTCTTAACACTGAAAATTTAAGCTTTAATAGTTGCGTTCATGGCACATACAAAAAATTACTTGTGGTGCTGACTTTGATGTTAAAAGCAGAGGTTATAAGCATAAAAAAGATTAGTAAATAAAACTGTACACAAGGAAAAAAAATTGTTTTACTATTTTATGAAATAGATTTTCATATTCCTTAAAAATAAGGAAACTGAATGGATTTTAAAACATCTACTTTGTCATTATTCATAGAAAATCAGTAAAATTGACTTTAAAAAAGGGCAATAACTCTTATTATACATTTAAATGAAATAACATCTAATAAATCTCAGAAATTGTATCAGTTTATTTGTAGTCACACTTTTATATACCCCAGTTGGAATTTTTTTTATAATAAAGAGTTGTAAAATGCCCTCACATTACAGTAAACAAAATTAGAAAATTATTTATGTATGGTCATAAACTGGATGTCATTTTGATTACATGGATATGAAAGTTTTTATGTAAACTTAATTTGAAAATAAAATGACAGTAAAATTCATGACAGCTTTGTCCAAGGCACCTAACTATTTTAAAATAAACTTTCACTTTGAAATTTAGATGTTATTGTAAATTGTGACTTTTTAATGTAATAAAAACATAGACCACCAAGGTGATAGAGATTGTATAGAGTTGTATCACTCACAAAGGGAAAAGTTATGGTAACAATTTTAAAAAAGATACTCTCTTTCAATTTGTATTAGGAATTATAAAAAGCAGCATTGCCTGTGGTTACAGCATTAACCTTTCATGTATTATCCTGTTTTCCTGCATGGGTCAAATTTAAAATTCTATTCCAAGTAATCTGAATATGTGCAGGTGTTGTAATCTAAATTATTTAAATGAAATTCAGGAAAATCTAAGACAGCATGCTCTTACATCTGAGCAATACTGATTTCAAATTTTTAAAAAAAAGTATCTTTTTGATAGCTCTTTAACAAATTTTGGCTGACCATTTACAAGAAAAAATGGTGAACAGTTGAATTGTTTCTGATGTTACAAATATACATTAGAGCAATGAAGTAGATATATTTTTGATAATAAACGAGAAGGTCATAAAATTATGTTAGGTTATTTTAATTGCCATTTTTGTGGCAAAATTGTATGATATATGTATGTCTGTATTTAGTTATTCCTCTTTAATTATCTTATAAAGTGGTACACCAAACATTTGACCTGGCATTCTTAAGTTGGTCTGTATTGTGTAAACTATAGGATTGTTTACTTTGTATGGATACGAAATATTTGCAAAAATTGTTTCAAAATTAAAATTGGAAAGTAATATAGATGAAATGTAAGTACTTTTCACTTTTGCTTATAATACAACTTTGAAATGCACTTTGTCTGGAAGTCTGAATTCTAGGTCAGGTTACCACTTTTCATTCTGAACAAAAAGATTTCTCAAATATTTAACCAGTAAGAATTTTAGTTATCATTTTCATACGACTACAAAATATTATTTTTGTGTATCAGTTTTTTTCTCTCTATCTTTGGTTTACACATTCTACAGTTATTTACTATTTGAACTGTACCTTTAGTTGCCTTCATAACCATTTATCCCATAAATATTTTTTGGTGTCAGTGTTAGTAGACTTGATGATCAAGAACCATGTGTTTTACTTTTATGCATTGTTTTTAAAAGTTTTCCAAAAACAAAATAGTGGATTGAGAAATAGCAAACATGAATTTCCTTCATTTTATGTTATGCTGTCTTAAATAAATGATCTGACCTCTAGGGTAGTCTGGGGTATAGAACTACGGTCATCCCTGGACTCCTTCTATCTTGCAGTAAAACCACAGCTTAAAAGGAGTGTCCAATTGGCTGCTAAGGATTGTATGAATAGGCAGTCGGAATTGGGACGTTAAAAATGTTGCCCTTGAGTAGAGATAGTATTAGTGCAACACTCTTTACTCATGCAACAACAATTTAAGGGGTCTGTAGTAGGACTGTTGCAAGGCAAAATTTCTGCCACTGTCCAACACAACCACGTTCCAATGGTAGTCAAAATTGTCATCCCTCGTCCTTGTCAACTGACGTTAGAGGACATATCTAACGGATTTATTTCTAATTTGTTCCTGAATATGCATGTAATATTTGTCACAGGACATTGAGCAAACTACAATCAATCAATCTCATATAATTTTTTTTTTTTTTTTTGAATTGTTAATGAATTCGTCTTAAGGTTTTCTTGTAACAAACAAAATCTTAACATCTTAAACGAAAAACTTTGAAAATAGAACCTAAAAAATGCTAACAAATATATGTTTAAGTTACAAATAGGGAGTTTCAAACATGATTAATGTATTTTAAATGACAGTGTACCATTTAATATATTCATTAAAAGATGTTGAAGCATTTATTGTCATAAAGTTGATTTTTATCTGAAGTAATGTCATAAGAAGCAATTTCAATATACATTAACCTTCCTTTCTACAGAAATTGGAGGATGACACTTGATAACGACATCAAAATGTTACATTTTCACTAAAAGCTTAGTGCAGAGGAAAACTTGTCACTTTTGTCATCTCCAATTTCACCTTCATTTACATTTTAATATTTTTATAGGTAAAATGTTTTGTACAGAATTATATATATGAGAACCAACAAAATGTTTTGACAAATGTGGATATAAATGTAAACTCTGACAAAAAAAGAAAAAGCTTAAAGAAGACAGACATTTGAATTTTTATGGAAAATGTATTAAATATGAATCTTGCTTTCATCAGCATGGAAGAACTCCAATTTGAATTTTGATTATATCGATATGTTATGGGCTGTACTGTTACACAAGGAAAGCTAGTTTGGAAACATTTACCGAGCGTGAACTTTCAGGGATCTCTATAAACTAGAGGTTATTATTTTATGGTCCTGTCTAATTCTAGATTTATCTTTTAGTACTGATTTTGTCATGGATAGAGACTCCTGATAGCTTAGATTTTTTTAAATTTTGGCACTTAGGAAGTCTGATGTTATATCCTGAACAATCAAAACTTTTTTTTAGGGCAATAATTGTATTTCTGTTTTACTGAGTTTTTTTTTTTTATTTTTCAGAAAGAGAAGGTGGAAATAGTCGTGGACCTACAACAAGTCTGACTAGGAGTCAGAGTGTGAAGGATTTTGACGGGTGTGATCATCGGGCTAATAACACAAATCATCCTCGTATTGGAAGATGTACTAGTGTTATAGATAGACCTAAGGAATCAGGAAGTCAAATAGAACAACGAGTGCCATTACCAAATGGATATTGTAATGGAATTCAAAATGGCAGGAGTGAAAAAAGTGTTCATGTAATTCATGATTCAGGACAGTTAGGAAGTTTGAACAGTAGTGGTGAAAATCATATATCAAAACATTCTGATGATATAGATGATAATTCACCACCTTCCTCACCTCTTAGACGCTCTTTTTCACTGAACTCACTGCGGAGAAAGAGAAGTGAGAAAGATATTTCAGTCACATCACCGAACAGTTCAAATCTTTATAGTGTTCATTCAGATTCACCAGTCAATTCTTCATCTTCGTCAGAATTTTCTGAACATTCCAAACATACTTCTAAGCATTCCAAAGATATTTCAGACCATTCTGAAATAAAAAACAACTCAGTCAGTTTTTCAGAAAATCTCAAAGATAATCATGTTTTAAATGATAAAGATAATTTTAAAAATTCTGATGCTGTAAGACGGAAAAGTGTTCCTGCAAGTGCCAAACATTTCAAAGATTCAGATAAATCTGGGTCGGAGTCTGATAGTAGTTCATGCCGTGATTGGCTAGAAAAGAAAAGAAGAAATAGTTTAACTGTTATTGATACAAAAAAATTAAATTCAACCATGGATATTGAAGCAGCATTCTCGGAAATTTTAAATGCTGTGGACACTGAGGAGGAAAACAATAATGAGGATTCTCCTGAACTGGAGATCATGGAAGTTGATGGATTAGAAAAAATAAATATCATAACTCCAAGAATAACAAATGATAAGAAATCAACATCTGCAGTCGATATCAACTTTAATTATAGTGAGGTAAAAACATTTTGTCTTCATTTAAAATTGAGTTATTTCCCTTGCATTATTAATACAGGCAATATAAAATGTGAAGTATTATTTAATTCCATTACAATACCCATTTTGTAATTTTGTCTATTGTAAATTAAAATGACATAAATTGAAAAAAAAATTTGATGTTCGAAAACTGAGTATGTGTTTTGCTGCGAAAGATTACATATGAAAATACATGTTGTAGCAGTAAAAAAAAAACAATGACAAAGATTACATATGAAAATACATAAAAAAAAACAATGACAAAGATTACATATGAAAATACATAAAAAAAAAACAATGACAAAGATTACATATGAAAATTAAAGTTGTAGCAGTAAAAAAAAACAATGCCAAACATTACATATGAAAATACATATACATGTAGTAGCAGTAAAAAAAAACAATGCCAAAGATTACATATGAAAATACATATAGTAGCAGTAAAAAAAAAAAACAATAACAAAGATTACATATGAAAATACATATTGTAGCAGTAAAAAAAACAATGCCAAAGATTACATATAAAAATACATGTTGAAGCATTAAAATAAAAATTACAAAAAAACACATGTTGCATATCTTCAAGGTCTTTAAAAAAAAAAACCACGCTAATAGATAATATTTGCTAGAACAATATAGTACCACAGTTCTGTAAGATAATGCTTATTCTTAGAATTCAAATTATTACCTTTCTTTACTTAACACAAAATAAATAGGTAGATTAAAGCAATGGAGACAACAAGTGATAATTTAGAATTTTATGTGTATATTTTTAAAAGTGAATTTTTCACAACTGGATTTGAAGTAAGTGTGTAGTAAAACATTTGATTTATATCTTTTTAGGCAAAAACAGTTTTGAAACCCAACAATGATGAATATGATCAGGAGAAAGAAAAAGGTTTGTTTTATCCAAGCATGCTAGATTTGGGTCATAAACAAGTAGACACAACATATATTTGGAATTAGTTTTAATCTGCATAGACTATTGGTAAAGTCTGTGTATTATAGTGCAAACAGATATACTCAATGCTAATAATTTGGAATCAAGTTTTGAAAAAAAAACCTGAAAACACAATTCTAAGGTAATATCTTCAGAGTTCCAATTGATATCCGGATTCTTATAATTTGAGCGTTAAGGGACAATGCAATCATACAGAAATATGTTTTTCTGCTGTTAAGAGACAACATGTTTACAGAGCATCTGATAATTGTCACAATTGAAAAATGAATATGGGAGTTTAGGATAGTTATTGTTTCAATGTGGAGGTTGAAAAATAGGGATCATGTGACATTTTTCTATGCATCTTTCTTATTTTTAACAAAGACAAAGGACTATATAAAACCTTGACAAAGAATAAGTACCTAAGTAACATGTCAACCAGAATATTGTTTCCTTGAGTATTGCTCCTTGAAGTGATTGTTGGCACAAATTCCACACAAAAAACAAACTGTGAATTTACACAAGAAGAGACTAGTTTTTGCTACTTAAGAATATAATTCTGTTATAATTAAAAGCAGGAAATTGTTTATTTTTTGCCAACAGCAACTAACATTGATGACTTTGGCACTAGTAATCTACATGGAACATTTGTTTACAGTGCTTACAAATGATAGAATGGGGACGTAACAAAAACATTGGTGACACCATTTTTGTTGGAATGGCTTCAGAATACACCACAATAGCAATTTGTTAATGTGGAATAAATACATGTTTAGATTTTCTTCTTGATACAAATAAAAGAAAATGTGGGATAAATACAAAACTCAGACATCTGGAGATCAACTTACAGTGTTTTAATTCTCTGAAAGAAAGGTGTCCATACCATAGTTAAAGCATACTAGTTGTTATGATAGAGCTGACTAATGACAGCTTCTAACACTTACTTGGAGACTTAGCCTTCAGTTTTTGGTCATCTCGATGAGAGACAGACCATTGCTTTGTGCACATGATTGCCATGGTGAGAGTGTCATATCAATTTCAGAACATTTACATATACGATGTATATTAAAGTTAAAAGTTCATGTGGGGTATAAATGGATGAGACAGTCCCCCAATAATATTTAGAGATATAAGACAGAGATAAAAATAAGGTCTTTAAAAATTAACAAGTGTCTTCACATGGAATGTATCAAGAGTCTAGAAAAGTTGTGTTTTTTTTTATATCAATATTTTGATAAGCTAGAAAAATAAGCAATTGTTTTTTAGATAAACAAATAATATCACTGACTTAAGTGACAATAACTTTTTAATATTTTGGTAAGTTTTATACTTTGAATAATTTATACTTTGAATAATTTTTACAGAGGAAGCAATCATAGAAGAACAAGTCACCCCAGTTATACAATCCCCAATATCAACAGAACTCCAGATTACTCCAGTGAAGAAAGACCGCCCTGTGTTCACATTAGCACCAGTTACACCACTCAACGATTCATTGTCTGTAATAGAGGATGATGATGGGTCCATCACGGTACAGAGTGTCTCATACAAAGACCAGGGAGACTGTGTTGTTACAGAGAAAACCACGCTACGGAGGTCACAAAGTAGGACAGAGGAAGAAGAAAAGGATACAGGTAATAATATACACTGAAAAAAAACAGGTAATAATATACACTGAAAAGACAACATGTATCAGAATATCATAAATACATATCAATTTTGATTTAAGATTTAAGATTTGGAATTTCATTTTGAAGCTTTTTATTTTAAATATCAGGATATAACCGATATTCACTGTTATAGGTGGTTGCGGAAGGAGGGGGGGGTAGTATTTTAATTCTTAAAAAATATACAAAAAATATATAAAAAACCCTCCCCTTTCTTCAATCATAAAAACCCCTTTTTAAAAGAAATGTTTGCTATTGACTTTTATTGGTAAATTAAGATTTTAAGTTTGTTCTGTTATATATTTTTCATGAAATTATTGAATCAAATGTATTTAAGGGGTAAACAAAAAGTAAGCTTTAAATTTTATGAAGATAATGATACTAGACAATGAAATTTGATGAACTTGCTATGAACTGGTTATTAATATATCAATTTCTTTATATTTACAGTTATTGAATCAAAGGTTACTTCCCCTGGTGGTAGCGACCATTTTGAAAAAGATGTCATCAAAACAAAGAGAAAGCTGACATCTCGTGGTTCTGACTACTTCTCAAGAAGTCAGTATAAATCTAAATGGTTGAGAAATAAAGAAGGTGAAACAATAGAGGAACATGATGTTACAGTTGAATCAGACAACTTTTCTGTCACCAAAGGTCAGTCCTGGGGTGATAGGTCAGAAGCCACAGTACAGCTGAATAAACCAACCATAACAAGTGTATCAAGGGAGATACAGGAACCAACCAATCATGATTCAGGAGACAATAGACTACTGGTTCCCGGCAGAATGGATGTATCCAAGGCTAGTAGTGGATATGGTAGTGTGTCAGGGTCAGATGAAGAAGAGAAGGAAGAGGCTGTTGCCACGGCATTGCAAGGACAGCCATCAGGTTTGTAACAAGACATTCTTGGTCAAAAAGGATAATTTAGTAGCTGCTTACTCCAATGCTTTAAGATTTTAGACATCTTAGATTTGCTTTTAGTTTAGAAAATTTCACTCAGTTTAGTTAAGTTGTAAGAAGGGAGATAATTCATAAAGTTTAAAAATTATTTAATGTAGAAAATATTATTTGTGTTTTATACAAAACTATTTTGAAGTGATTAATAAATAATATTGTTAAAGACACTAACAAGTTTAAATATCCAGAAATTAATAACTTGAACTAATTGCTTTTTATAATTGTGACTTATTCCATTGATATTTCAAATAAGATCTAGCTATTAACTTTTGAATACTAAGAATTAATGTTTTTACCCTCTCCTCTAATTAGAATTGAGATCTTTGCTGCTTGGTTTATATGCTGTAGAAGAAGATGAATGCAACCTGTGTTCACAACCCCTTGATAACCCCATTTCACCATCGTCAGGATGGAGAATTAGTATGTTGGTGTGGTAGTTTGCATCCCAGTTAAGGTCTTCAAAGGGAGATTATTTCACATAATTAAAAATGATAGAAGACATTAATGTTTGTCTTCTGTTAAGTCAGAATCTGTTACCATTTTCCATTTTCTGTACAAAAAAATTTTTTTTTTTAATTTAAGTGTTTTAAACTTTGAAGCTTGGGATTTTGTTTATTAGTTGTAAATTTTTTTGTTAAAAAAAAAAATCAATTATGAATTAATTAGTTTTGGGTGTAATAAGTATTATCAAGAATTCTAACAGTCAATAGATAAACACTTCATTTATATAAAATAATGAGGATTTGTGGTACTATACAATTTATTTTGCATTATAAATATTTTAAAAATAATCTCCTGACAAGATCAATTTGTTTTAGTTTGTTGTTACACCAGGGATTTCATTTCAACAATTTATTAGAATTTTTAGATTTGTTTATACTATATATCATTGTTCAAAGTGTTAAAAAAATACAATGATGTTGAAATAAAATCCAGATGGAACAAATGTTTGGTTGAGGTTGTGTTTGATTATAGCACATGAAGCTTGTAGTATGTGTGTCTGTTGTATCATTGGAGATGATAAATGTGATAGCACTTGATAAAACAATTAACAAAATTAGTGTGTATTTCTTTCATTGGTCATAACAATTAAGGGGTTATCTAGAAGAAGTACAAGGGTCTTTGAAAGCACTGTTAAAAGACCACCCATGTAATTTTTCACTCTACGCTTAATGCAAAAATACGATTTAGACCCAAATCAATAGAAATTAACATACAAATGCTTTCAAAGATTTCTAGATATTTTTCTGAATCTACCCTAATGAAAATGCAGATAAGAATTATTATTTCAAAAAAATGCAGGAAACTGCAAGAACAATAGAGATGTCTCCCATTACAATATGTGATGTCTCCCGTTAGAATACCTGTTATTCATAGAGTTGTCTCCCATTAAATTATCTGTTAGTCGTATATTTGTCTCCCATTACAATATCTGTTAGTCGTAGAGTTGTCTCCCATTACAATATCTGTTTAGACATAGAGTTGCCTCCCATTACAATATCTGCTAGTCATAGAGTTGTCTCCCATTACAATATTTGTTAGTCATAGCGTTGTTTCCTATTTCAATTTATGTTAGTCTGTTATATTAAACTAAAAAATTAAGATGGGATAGCATTTTTGTAGAATTTCCTGAAATCACAATAAATATTCTCACATATTTGTCTATTGTTCAGCAATCAAAATAATAATTGCTCACAAAAATTTCTGAATTAACAGTAATCATAGGGGGTTTTTCCCTTACAAATATATATAAAAGAAAAGAATGTCAGTTTCTTAAACAAGTTACTTTAATATTTTGAAACGCTTGAATTACATCTAAAAGCATTATTTCATTGAAACATTCCAGATTCAAAAGTTTTATACGGAATAAAACAGCAAGGTAATGATCTCAAGAATTTATTTTAATATTTAGGTCTTTGAATCAATGATATTCAAAATCAGTTGATGAAAAAAATAAATTAATGTGAAGATGTATTCAAGAGATATTTAAAGATCAAATGAAAATTTGATTTTATAATGTTTACAAATCCCAGATATATTTCATATTTACATTGACCTATACAATTTAAAGATAGACAGCGATCATTCTAAATAATAATCAGTCTTTTTATTGCACATTAAGAATGGCTTATCTTCTCCTGCATTTGATAAAACAGACAGATTTTGAATGAAAAACAACTTTCCTTAATGTTCAATTATAGTAAGAAGTATTCTGCATATGATCGCATAATCTTGCAGAAACAACTCATAACTTATTTTGTAATTGACTAGGATATTCAGTTTTCATGCCGAGGTCAGTGGTTCTCTACAGGTACTTAGACTTGCTCCACCAATAAAAGCTGACCGTGGTCAGTGATTCTCTACAGGTACTTCGACTTGCTCCACCAATAAAAGCTGACTGCACGAAATAGCTAATAATGTTGAAAGTGGTACTTTGCACAAATCAATCAATCATAACTTATTTTGAAAATCCATTCCATCTTGGTTACTTCATAACAAACCCAAGTACTAGATCCTGTTTTGAAGTAAAAAAAAAATTGAGATGGTTTTGACTATTTTCTCGGAGATAGGTCTGTATACATGACATTACAATTTTAGAAATATTGATATCAGGCATTAGACTGATCTAACTTTCTTGAAACAAGCATATGACTTGTTTAGACATCTGTCTATTTTGCATTTTGCCTTCTAGATGTCTTTTGTTAAGTTTTGTTGTTGGGTAGCTGTCTTGTTGCTCTTTATTCATATGCAACTTCTATATGCATTTAATAATACAAAAAGGCAGTTCTGAAAGTTTTCAATTCCAGAGCGTACATGAACTTTATTTTAGGTACTCGTGTAGGCAGAAAGAATGGAAACAATTAATTACTGTAATAACACCAACTTCCCAAACATCCACATTCTTTGCAGTGTTTATAAATAATGATGAATTCATTTTGACCGATTTTTCATTTTTCTGTTGATAGATAAATTGTCGACAGTTGTTAGCAAACTTGTTGATATAAGTTAATATCTCTCAGAAACATAGATGGTATATTAAATCATGGTTATCTCTATGTTTAATGTCCTATCTACACATTCTTGCATTGCAAGATCTATTAATGTGATACTACAACAATTCCTGCCAATGTTCTGTAATTTTTGGTAAATAAGCAGGAAGATTTTACACCTTACACTTTCACTACAAACAGTGATTTGAGATGTTGCATATGGTTATGACGATCTCTCGAAGTTCGTGCTATTTTAGCAATGAATATTCAGTTGGTGTTCAATGCCTGTAGGAACTGATGGAAGCCTGGATTCAAAATGTAGGAAATTTAGAAAACTGCTTTAGTTTAAAGCTTTATCCCATACCAACTTGTCCATCTGTATGTCCCGCCATTTGTGTTGGAGTGCCTTTTCAGATTCAAATAGTACTTCACACATTCAATTGTTGCCCATGACCTATGGAATTATCTTAACCCTAAACTATATATTTAGTATCTCTCCTTGGATCCAAGTAATATTTCATAAAATGATGGTCCAGTTGACCTATATAAACCATGTAAGTTATTAAAAACATGGCAGAAAAAAACCTGCCGACCTAACCATCCTATTTTGAAGTTACCCTCATCCTAAGTTAGCAATGGTAGGTCTTTCATTTCTGGGTGTCTGGTAATTAAAGAAATCTCTAGATAACATTTGGTTAAAATGATAGCAAGTTACAGAGTTAGCTCCCTGTAATTGTTAATTTCTAGTGCGTTTCAATCAAACTGTATCTTGAAATACCAGAACAGGAAAAGGAAACAAATGTTATATTTGCGAACCATTATACATTTTGAACATAAATTAATGTAAACTTGAACAGGTTTTTGTTTGTCATGTTTTCACCACTGCCTGATTCTTAGGCAGATTGGCACTTACAATATGTCAGTGCAACATAAAAAATTACCTTAAGTTTCTAAAACTGTATGCAGGCATATTGATTCTAGTTTTCCTAGTTGAAATCTTCTTTTGAAAACTGGCATATGGATAGATGGTAATGAGATAGCAGTCAGATAGATGGAAAGGGATAAAACTAAAATTAAAACTGGTTCATGAAATGCTACTCAGCAAACTGAAAGTTCTGTATGGACATCCCTAGCATAAACATTGACTGTAATTATGACTTGGCAGTACAATTTCTTACCTATAGCTCTATCATTAACAACAATCAGAGACAGAATAATGACCTTGACAACTTCCTGGTCTGATGAGTTCCTGGCCAGACAGTGACAATTATAACTTGGCAGGAGTTGCAGCAGATAAGCACTATAATAAATGCCAGGAATTATCATGTGCTATAAAATGCCATTATGATTTATTCTACACTATGCCTTAGGGTCAGTCTTCTATAGGTCATGATCAAGGTAGAAACATGTAGATGTCCTAAAACAAGTTAAGGTTAATTACATTTATTGATTGATTGATTGGTGTTTAACGCCACTTTCAGCACTATGGTGGAGAAAGCCAGGAGAACCACTGACCTGTGGTAGGAAAACTGACAATTCTAGTCAATTAAGATTGGAGTCTAGCTCACCTGCCACGTGTGGGATTCGAACTCTCAACCTCAGTGTTGACAGGCTAGTGATACAGTAGTCGACTACTTAGACCACTCGACTACCGAGGCCCAGAGTTTTTTACAGTACAGCGATATCTGAATATGTTCTAAACCGTTTTTGGTTAAGCCTGGTAAGTTAAAAAAATTACTTGTGGGTTTTGGGATATGTAAATCTGCAGGCATGTAGGAATGTTATTTATAAAAACAAATTTCTCCTTGGGTTGAGGGGTTGGGGTGCCTTGGTGTCAGAGTGGTCTAAGTAGTTCATCTACAAGTGATCCCTAGCCTGTGTCAACACTGAAGTTGTGAATTCGAACCCTGCTCCTTGCAAGTGTGTTTAACTATTATCATGATTGACTTTATTTGCCAGTTTTCCTACCAAAGGTGGGTGGTTCTCTTTTGGTACTTTGAATTTTCCACCAATAAAACCTGCCAGCCATGAAATGGTTAAGGGTGCTGAAAGTGGCATTAAACACCGACAATCAATCATGTCAATTCCTTTAATTTAAAGAACTGTTGAACTTCTGTAGGAATTTAACCAATACTTCAATTTGACAAATTGGAACAAGCAACAGGAATTTATTTTTGAATGCTATGAACTTTCCTATCTTAGAGATATGTGAAAAATTGGTTGGTAAATGAGATTACATCTACGTTTTGGCAAATTATGATTGATTTTTACATCAGAATGATAAAAAATGAGCAGGAGCTTAATGATAATACCACTAACCATGAAAATGTCATAAGTCTAACTTATTACAAAGGTCTGTCATTAACCTATTAGCTTGGGATGATAGCCAAGTTGTTTGTTTATTTCTGTTATGAAAAATAATAAGCAAAAAGTCATATTAAGTTTGAGGCGTTGTCTATTTTGTATAGAATTTAAAGAAAAAGGAAACTCAACCAGTGTCCCTTAGTTTTAAAGAGGATTGTAATTATAGGAAGTGGTGAAGGAAAGATGGTGCATCAATTTCAAGTCTTAATAAAAAATAATAAATGAAGCAAATAATAGGAAAACTGAGTGAAATAACTAAAACTTGGAGTCAATAATTTTTAATAAGTAGAAAACCATATGTCCTGTTCATTGATATATTTGTTATAATTCCAATAATTGATGAGGAAATAAAGTACAAACTATGAACAGGTGGTTTCTGGTTTAACCCAATATTCCTGGCACTAATATAAATATAGCTCAGACTTAACGTTTGTGGTCATAGTGATCTATTTATTTAATATTTGTAGGACATCATGACAATTAAGACTTCTCAAAAATGAATGGGTTTTGTTGTTTATCTTTGAAAATTGTAGCAGAAAAAAGAAGTGCCTATAAAAGAAATATGTCTAGTAGAAAACTGAAATTCATTGGTTTCCTGCCAGTCTCTGCAGTTTACTGCATGAATTCTTTTAACTCGACAAACATTTTGGCAATAGTAAATTTTTTTTGGTTGACACTTTTTTTTGCGAGAAATAGGTGCTTGCCCCATGAACTATCTGTATATTACATCTATACTTCATGAAAGATGAATTTAATTCAGGGGATGTAAAAGGTTTGTCAGCGTTCTAATTGCAATTTAGTTTGTTTTGTCTTGCCTGCGACAAAAGTTGCAAAGGCAAGACTTGGGGATCCTAGATTCCATTGTCGTAGGCGTTATCAACAAAATTTCAGTTCAGTCTTGAACAAATGATATTTTTATACATCACCAAAGAAATAACTTTTTTCAAACAAGGCAGCCAGTTCTTTATTTCACTCAAATTCTTCTATTTTCCTTGGTCCATGCAGGGGTTTATAAAGATTGCTGGTTAAGCAGTGGAACCATTCAATGAGTTGTACCCCTTGGTGACACTGTTCCCTGTCATAGAAAGTGACATACCGGTAATGCATTATTGTCATGTTCTTAGAACCATGTTGTACCTGTGTAACTGTTTGTTTAAAAGGAGAGAGGTTTGTCAGTTGTGGTAGTCAGAAAATATTGACTGATCCATATTTCCTTAGAAATGCAACAATGTTCTCAGTCTAAATTAAATAAATCAGCTTCATATACAGTAAAATGTTTAACACAAAATCTGGTCTTATTTTAAAATGTCAATAATGATTAGAGAAGAGACATATTATGAAATAGGTTTTGATGAGTTTCTACAGCAATAGAACACAAAGTAATTTTTGGCGAAGTTAGGAAATTAAGAAATGCATTCTTCTGATTCTTTTGTGCATGTTAATTAACTCTGAATGGTTGGCTTTGTAAAGGATCCTCTTTCTGCCAGTTAATTAACAATTTTAAACAAATTTAAGAAATGAATTTTCTTTAAGTAAATAAATATGCATCTGTACAAGTTTTGCCTATTAACTCATCTGTCGATGTTTTTCATCTTCCTGTCGTCTCAAAATCTTTTAACTAGCAGCATTTAGCAGTGATAGTAAGCTCTGTATTGACTGTTGCAGTATAAACATCGTTATTATTTTTGAGCCAAGATTTACACTACCTACATAAAAATTGAATGTGAATTAGTTAGATAAGCTTAGATGGTCGATTGTCAGGATGTCTAATCTGTTTGTCCGACGGAGTAGTCTTTTATTCAACTCAGAAGGTAATTAGTAAACTTTTTTCAGGTACATTTGTAATTTTTTTTTACCTGTAAGCAATTATGATCAGAAATTTGAGAAATTTTGTTATATTTTCATTAATCAGAAACTTGTACTTATAATTTTCTTGTTAATTGTTTGCATACACAGATTTGTAGTTTTTTTGTAAGAAAAACGTTTATTATTTATTTTTTCAGGTATATATATCACTTGTGTTTTTGTTTTTTGAACTCATCAATTCATTATACTGTAGAAATAATTGTCTCTGTTTCTAGTTTCCTTAATCATTAACATTGTAGTTTTTTGTAACATAAATTAACTTAGGTATTCTAGCTGCAAGTGTTTAAAGTCATTTACCTGCTCAATAGAAAATGGAAAATTATTATATGGTACTTTTATTTTGACATTTCAACATTTGCTAAATTTTTAACAAAAACAGCAACTCCTTAGTTCAAATTTGATCATAACTTTATAAAAATAAATATTCTGTTTTAGGTTCACCAGAAATAAAAGCAACTTTGAAAGACCTAGTGACACTAGAGGGCAGTAATGCAGTCCTGGAAACAATCGTCACATGTTCCCCTTCACCCGACATCACATGGTACAAAGGAGATAAATCTGTTATGAACAATCGTCATTATGAAGCCAAGTATGACAATATTTCTGGGCGAGCTTCATTGACAGTGTTGGGTGCTAAGAAGGAAGATACTGGACCTTATAAATGTACATTGAGAAACCCACTGGGTGAAGCGGAGACAAAGGCAGCTCTTACAGTTAGAAGTAAGACAAATACATTATCAGATTTTCTGCCTTCTTTTTACTTTAGGGGTTCCTGAACATTAGCATTAGGGTTCTTTTATGGTGATGGTTAGGTTAGGGTTTGTTCTAGGTTAAGGTTAGCTTTAAGGGTTAGGGCTAGTGTTAGGGTTGAGTATGGGTAAGGGGTATGTTACTATAACTCTTGGTGGGTTGGACCCCTAAAGTAAAAGAAGGCCAGTTTTTCTGCATATTGATATTTATAATTTATCAGTTTAAAGTCTAAGAAGAAAGCTATTCTGGTCTGGTAGCATTGTGAATGGGCTCTAAAGGCTTCATATTTTGCTGGGCAGTTGATTTGTGATAAAAATTTACCTAAATAAGGGCCCTGGAACTGATGATTTATTATATTTGATTTATTTGTGTGGTTTGCATGATCGTAACTATAGGTTTTTTTTTAATTCTACTAGCTAATCTGAAGAAGACTTGATAAATCAAAATTTAACTTTAACAAACCAGAAGTCCCTGTGAGCAATTTTATTTTCAAGGTTTGTTTAAAACACTTGTAACACACTAAATGAAAATTACAACTAACAAGAAAACTAACAAATGAATGATCTAAGCTTCCTGCGATGATTTTATTGATAATCAGTTTCAGAGTTTTATCAATTCCCTGAAACAAAAAATCAACAAGAAGCATTTTCACTGAGTGATTTCGTGGTTTGGCTCCACCTGAATTATTCACAAAAATTAGTATGGAACAAAAATGATGAATCGGCAGTATCTGCTGGTAGCAGGCAATTGAATGATCTCGCTTTGATTAAAGACACTAAAGCAAGACTTTGGTTTTCTTTTTTTGTCTTTGGCAGTGTTCAGCAAATGTCAAAGGTTGTTATACAGTCACACCTGGGTGACATATCCTTGTGTTTAAAGTATATTTTTACATTGAATTTAAAAAGAAAGGTTAGATGTCAGAATTGAAAATAATGATTATTCCACACTTGAAGGTAGTATCAAAAGTGTAAAATATATGATATGCTCAACATAACATAGTAGAATAACGCGAATATGTAATAATTAGGCATCATGACAATTAGAATATCGCGAAAACAAATGACTGTGAAGTCAGTTAGGAAGGGTTAATTGTGAAATAAAGTATCCCCGGAAATAAGTTGGTTTACAGTTTAAGAAATGAAAGACATACTCCATGCTTTTTAATTACCCTTCTTCTTGACTGAAAGAAGTAATGAAGTGCTTTCATTGCAAATATTTCTTTACATCTTGTATTGTTTAGTTTGGCAATTGATTTTAATGTCAGGATCAACAATCTATGAAACTAATTTCAGGGTCATTACTTTTGGGATTACATTAATATAAAATTAGAAGAAGAAATTTATTGTAATGTAAATGGTCTATTCTTTGTGGTTTTTTTTTTGCTTGAACCAGGAAGAGAGCTTGTTGACTTGTGAAAACAAGAATTGAGACACAATGTAAAAAACATTCTTGCTAGTAAAGTTAGAATGAGCAAAAAGAGTACTAATAGAAATGAAGAATTCAAAATAGTTAGGTGTTTTTTTTTATGTCAATTTGCAGGTTTGTGCACAGAAAAAAAACAACTTTCAAAACCATTTTTTTCTTTCAGAAACATCTGAAAGCTATAGGTAAACACAATAATGTAAAAGTTATACATTTTGTAATTGAAAAAAAAATTGCTCATTACATACAATTCTTCATTATCAATCAGGAAAACATTAGTTTGATAATGAATATTTCGTTACAAAAAGAGCATGAATCTTAATATATAAGTATCGTAATTAATTTCATTTCATATCTTTAAACTGTTGTTTTATATTCCTCTAGGTAGAGCAAAGAAAAAGCCTCAATTTACGAAACCTTTAAAGAATATGGTAGCTACTGAAGGACATTCAGTGTGTTTAGAATGTTCTGTTAATGATGCTACACAAATTGCATGGTATAAAGATGGAATTATTCAGAGAAACACTTCAGACTTCAAACAGACTTTCGATGGATTAATCGCAAAATTAGATATCGAGGAGATATTTGTTGACGATCATGGTGAATACTCGTGTGTTGCTAAGAACGATTTCGGTGAAAATAGAACATCCTGTAAAATAATCGTGAAAGGTGAGAATGAACCGGATAAAATTCCGGTACCTAAAGTTAACAAAAAACCATGGTGTAAGGTGGTGTGACAGGCTATCTATACTGCTTACTTTTATATTCTGCCTTTCTGTCTTTGACGATGTTGTATATATTTGTGTACCGTAAAAGGAAACTATTTTGTGTAAATATGATGGAATAACAATAAATTTAAATCATTTTCAAAAAGTCTGGATATATCGCATGGAATATTTTTAATTTGGATGTTTAGGCATGAAAAAAAATTAACTTTAGAATTTTAGTATTAAATCATTATCAAACTCCACTAAAAAAATTGTGACAAATTTATATTTTGGAATGAATCTGTTAAGCATGAATGATTTCATTTTGCATGCAAGCTACCAACTTAAACAAGCATGCTAGTTAAAGGATGTTAAGCCATTTAAAACTTGAAACTAATTTGAGCCTACGATTTTTTTTATAGTTCAATTATTATATAATTATTAGCAATATACAAACACTATCGTAGATTTAAACCTCCCACTTCCAGATTCCATTTCTAGAAACACCTTTGTTTATTTGTTTGTTTGCTGACATTGAAATACTACAGTTTTGAGCTTATCATTTACGTAATAATCTCATAATAGAAATAATCAAAAGTCATCAGAACTAAGACATATAGTATGCAGCATAGCACGAAACCAATCTGATACCATCACCTACATACACCTACAAACAAAATATTATGGAAAACTTCCAATACAGAAAAATACGCAAAAACAATCACAAAACTATACTGACATTCATACTGATATGCATGTTAGCAGTGCAAATGAACTTACTTGTTAAAACTAATGCTTAGTTTGTTGTTTTCTTAATTGGAAGATAGTGATCTTTCAACTTCTAGAAATACCATTTGGACCAGAAAAAGTGTTCAGGTTTAAAAAATCATTGGAAAGTCACAAAAGGGGGGGGGGGGAGGGGATGAGGAAAATAAAGACACATGTACTCTAAGAAGATTTTAACTCCATGAAAGCATGTAGAGTGACGGTTCTGTCTGAAGATTGGTCCCCATGTTCCCCATTTCCATTCTCAATTTTATTCATAAGTATTGGTAGGTTGTGAGGTATTAAAAGGAATTATTCTCTACCCATTATTTGGTTGAATTGGTTCCCACTGTGACATGGAGTCTTTGGGAAATAATTGATATCAACAAGTTTAATTGATTTTTCCTGAAATAGCCTTTTTATAACAATTGTGTGTGAGGAAATGATTTGGAGCCTGCATTTAGATGTATTTAGAGGGAGGGGGAGGGGGAGGGGTGGACTTTGTTGTTCCAAATGATACAGGATGTGTTAGCACTCCATCACTACCCCTAACCCTAGGTATGAATATTGGATTGAAGTAATCTGTTTGCAACTCATCCACTTGTTTTTCACATCAGGAAATAGAAATAAAAGGAAAAGTAATGAGAGAGTGAAATTAGATAATAAATCTTCAGCCCTACATGCAATTTACCTTTCAGCACTTAGCTACTTCTGAAAATTGTTATGTAATTATACAGAACGTGGAAAAAGGAGATGTGGTTTAACACTTAAATTAGACAGCAAGCCAACACCACTATTGAACCAGAAGATATTGAGTGTTATATATACACGATAATTTGGGGAAATGTAATGCCAGTTTCAAAAATCATCAATTTGATAAGTCGTGAAAATGTGTACAAGCATCCTAGGTCTGACAAAGACCTACCAATGCTACCGAATCTATTTCAGTATGTTAGAGGTGAAAAATACAAAAAAAAATAAAACCATTGAAAAGGAGAAGAAAGATGAAAAAAACCATCAAAGAAATTTGTTTTTTTAAAAAGAATAATTGAAAATAAAGCAAAACATTACAGAACAGGTTTAATGGTAACTTTTTTCTTCTAGAATTATATTTCAAATAAATTGAAGGCTTTAAAATATATTTCCGAAGTCCATATTATTTTAAATTTGAGCTAAAAAAAATTAAATGCAATTTTTATATCACATGTCTGAAGAAAAATGTTTACATCATGGAACTGTTATGTACACACTTGTAAAATCTATATAGGAAAGTAGGACTGTTATCCTTGAAAATATCAGATAAGTAAACTTTAACCAAAGAAATGTGGAAACTTAAAGAGAAAAACACTTGTAAAATTGTTAAAATATCTTTATTGTTGCTATATTCTTTCAAGTTAAGAAACACAAAAAATTCTAAAGATTAACAATCTGAGATAATCTCACAAAATTCTGTTTTATTTCAAAATATATCTTGTGATATGATAACAGGTTTGAAATTGAAGGGGAAACTTTGGATACTTACTTTAACACATTGGAAGTCAGTTAGATATTTATTAAATGATAATGAAAACTTATTGTTGAAATGCAGTAAGCAGCTAATATGCTATATACATACCATTCTAAAACTCTTTTAACACATGCAGAACAGTGGATCAGAATACATGCTATATTGTAGGTCCCTTGATTGCAACTTGATTTGCAAAAAATTACAACGAAATCAACAGATGGGGAATATAAACAAGTTGTACGGAATATAAAAAAAGTTGTAATGATATTAAGGCGCAGTGGAAATTCTGTAGGAAGGTCAAACGACAACAGGATGGAAAGAAGGTTGATTGATTGAGTGTTGCTTGATGAAAGATCAGTGGCAAATATTTCATGTATATTAAGGTCGAAAACAAATTAAAACATTATATATAAGGTAGGGTCTGCAATATTGGCTAGCTTGGATTAAGGACGGGAAATTTTGATTGTCACTGGAAAATGAGGGTACCGCTATGTTGGATAGGGGCAGAAATTTGGCCTAGTACAGGGCACCTACAGACCACTCAAAAAGTTGTGACACTGTTTTTTCTTTAATGTGCACAGAATGTGGCAGTCTCCCTACACAGGGCATCAGAAACAACATCCCCATTCCAAATGGATATTAAAAACAAACAATTGTTAACACAAATAATATACAGATACTTTTAGATAGAGCAACAGAAAATCCACTAAAACTTGGATGGGATGACCTCAGTTTCTCCTGAAGGGTAAGCAGTTCCTGCTTTACTAATGGCACCTGTCATGTTGATCATGAATTGTAAAAATCTAGTGGTGATTAGTATTGAATGAGAAAAAGAGGATGTAGTTGTTGCTTTAACAATTGAAACATCATTATACACATATGATACGCAGATATTCTTTGACTTCAGCTGTCAAACAAGTTATGAGTCTATTTGTACAAATTTCGAAGAGATGAGGTCAACTTTTCAATCAATATCCCTTGATTAAGTTAAGCATCAGCTTCGTTGCAAGCAGCATCATGATAATGATTCCCATGAAAACTTTATAATAAATAAATAAATTCTGAATTGGATATACCTTAAATACTCAGATCACATTACCAACTTACTCATATACACACTTGGGCAAGTACATATAAGAGGGTCTAAATGGGGTTTACAGAATAGAAAAACAATGGGCAAATATGCAGAATATATTCAGGATTTGTCAAGAGGAGGACAGTTACACTCAAAAGCTCATTTCCTATTGATTCTAAACATTACTTTCAAAACCTCTGTTGAAAAGAATTAAAATTATTGAAAAAGAATTAAATAATATGAGAGGATATTCATGCCTATCATACCAGGCCTAATTTGTTCTTGTGGTCAGCCCTTTTTTTGAACCACGATATAAATTAGAAAACTGACAGCTCAAATACATCAGCTATATTCAACATATTATAAGCCCCTAAAACTAACATGGAATTCAAGAGGCCATCATGCATACTTCTGTAGTCTTAAGTGCAGTTTATTGGTTATTCCCACATACACTCCTACAAAGACATATGTTGCATTTAAGTTTACAACTGGATCCAATTCTGATCTTGCTGTTAGTTGTAAGCTCCTAGTTTATTGAAGGAGTTCCAGCAGTGTCAAGAATAAGCTCTTAGTTTATAATGGTGGGAGTACAAGCATTGTGAAGAAAAACAACAATTAAGGAACTATTCCTTTGATGTATTACTGCTTTTTTCTAGTAAATCATGTTTTTTATATGTCACGTACAATCCATAATTAATTGTCTCATTGCCATTAATTTAAAGTCATCCTGTCTTCATGCCAATATGTCTGCAGATGAAATTGATGGTTATATTATGTGGCAAGGATCCAGTTAAGAAAGTGCATAAGTATAATTTCCTTCACTAGAAATTTTCTTGAATAGATGTTTCTTAATGAGGTTATTTACAACTTCGAACACGTCTTTGTCAAATTGATATTATTTAGGCAGAACAACAACAACAAATTCCTCGGGGGAGGTTATGAAATGGTTTAAACTCTGTATGCAACTAGTTTAATCTTATTGGTGGGCCACCAGTGGAGCAGGAACCAATAACCCTTCCAGAGCACCTGACTTCACCCTCCAACCCCCAGTTTTTGGAGCTGTCTGTGATGCTTTAATCCATAGTTTTCTATAAAGAGTTTGTGGACTGTTGCATGTTTGTCTTTTTGTCTGTTTTCCTTCAAGTTGTGGTTTTTAATTGGTTTTTAATTGACAAGGTTTGACAGATTTCCTGCTGAAGGTTAGTGGTTCTCTGTGTATTCTAGCCCATCCATTAATTAGAGCTGGCCACCATGACATAACCAATAGCACTGAAAGTGACTTTAAACAACAACAAGAAATAGACAAGCAAACATTGTTATATTGGTGAGGTACTAATTTGTGTGGATATCCTGTAGGCTTGGTTGTAGAATTTGTTCAAAACACTAAATCAAGTATCTACAAATATACAATTTTCCTCAATTTAAAAAAATAGGTACATTTGTGTACCAGTAAAAACAAATGAATCCATTCTATTAAGTTTGCACTGACTGAGCTCAGATTTATCAAGCTGAAGTAAACTAATTAATTTAAGTGGAACATGCATATATCATAATGTAAATAGTATTACTGAAGTGGAATACAAGTAGTGGTAATAAAATAAATTACTGTTATTATGTATTATGAGCTACTAAAAGCTTGTTACTTGTAGTAGCTAGTCTACAATCTATTTCTTTCATGCAACTTCTGAAATCGTTTGAATCAAATACGTATCACAGACAGACAAAATGTTTTAACCACTATTCAAAACTAGTGCAGTAAGCAGACAGATTATACAAAGAAACATTCAGCATTAGCATATACATAAATATAACATTATAGCAATAGTTTGGTATAGGTTTATTGGGGGATTGTGTCTACTTTCGTGAATGTTACTATACAGGAGCTGGGACAATTTGATATATAATTCTCGGATAGGAGCTGTAAAAAAGATTGAGAGTAGTTTTCCAAAGATTTTGCATTCCTAGAAACTTTTCAGATAATTATACCAATGACATTATATTGTTATTAGCATCGTGTATACAAGAACAGTGCTGTTTAAAATTTAGATCACTGACCTACATTTCATGCTAGAGTGACTTTGGTGAATGTTTGCATTTATATCAATCTCTCAGAAACATATAGTTTTACAATATATGAAGGATATTTTACCACTTAGTCTCATTCAAAAGTACATTGTTGTCAGCAGGTGACTTCCATTTTTTCACAACATACAGATGCATAATCTATCTTTTTAAATTGATATAATGTTGATTTTAGCTCTTTTGAACTTTAAAACATCTTTTTTTTTTTTAGAAAACTGCTTTTTGTTGTTCAATATATAGGCTGTGATCAATCAGAATAAATGAAACTAAACATGAATAAAGGGAGATGTGGGATGTATGTCAATGAGACAGCAACCCAAATGACACAAAATAACTAAAAGACAACAAATGTCAACATAGGGTACACACAAGTTTCTATACAATATGTCAAACTTTAAATTGTCCTGAATATAAAAGATGAAGTGAATAAATCTATTAGAGTCTATCATCTGTCGTCAACACGAAATTCTCCTGACAACATAAAAAGATTTAATAGGACAAAAGTCAACAAGGTACCTACCAGACTTGGCACAATAACATGAACATGGGACTGGGTTAAACTAGTTTATTTTATCTCAACATTTCTACCTTTCAATGATAAATGGATTAACAAAAGGTCCATGAAAGAACATACAATGAAAATCAGTACAGTTTAAGAACATTCAACTTTCATTTATATTTGGCTTGAGTTTACTGTGGATTCATTTATTTTCGTGGGTACTAATTGTCGTGGATTAAGGAAAACTTACATGTTCGTGGATATTTAATTTCGTGGTTTTTGACAATGTCTGCATACAAGCCTATAGTAAATTTGTCATTCGTTGAACATTTAATTTCGTAGTTAACCTATAACCACGAAATCCACGAAAATTGGTATCCAACGATTAATAATGAATCCACAGTATGTATTTTTGATGTAATGGGTTTAACTGTTCATTCTGTATCAGACCAAAAAAGGCATTCTTTTAATACTGTAATGTGTGTTTCAGAAACTGCTTGTGAAACTGATGTTGTTCCTATGTTCCTTACTAAACCTGAGAGTAAAATACATGAATGCAGTGATACTGTTACCCTTCAGTGTGATGTTATAGGATCACCTCAGCCAACCATCCGATGGACCAGGGATCAGCAGACTGTTGACATTGACAACTGCCACAAGCAGACATTTGATGGAAGAACTGCTGTACTGCTTATCACCAAGTCAACCATTGAGGATTCTGGGAAATATGAATGTATTGCTGAAAATACCTCAGGAAAAGTTTCTGTTGATGCTCTTATTGTTGTTAAAGGTACCTAGCTAGTCATTTATATAAAAACCAAATGTATGAAGTAAATTGTAAACTAAAAGCATATTGATTTTCTTCTTATATTGGTGTTATTCTGATAAACAAATATAAATTATTGCGATTGTTGGACAATCGAATCAAATGCAAGTTTTATAATTATGATTTCAGGAAATGCTGCCTACAAACAATGTATGCCTTCAAAATTTAAAATGCTTATATTTTTGTTTCACCTATCCTGTCCCAATTCCAAACAATAAAAAAAACTCTGAATTTACAGTTCTCTGCAGACAATTAAGTACTGGAATTAGTAATTCATGTTGAATTGAACAAGCAGACTTGTAACATATTGAATTAAACAAAATTATAAAACTGTTGATATTATGTTTTTTTGGTCTTTAACTTTTGACATAAGTATTATCAGAGAGGCAAATGAACTATTACAAAAGTCTGGACTTTTTTCCTGAGTATCTTAAAATGTTTTCTTATATATATAAATGTGAAACACAACTTCGGGAGCTCATTATGATATATCTTTTCAATGTAAAAAAAATCAAGCACTTTTAAAGAATAAATCTATAAATTTTTTTAAAAAGTTCAACAAGTGTAGCTTCTTAAGTTGTTTATTATTATGTCTTTACTTTTCTTAAGTGTTCAATGGTAAGAAGATTTCTTTTTGCCGGACACTGAACCCATTATATGACAATTATTTATATATAACAAAACATACTTAATTCCGATTTCACACGTGGTAGGAATTTAAATATTCTATTAAATGTTTTAAATACATTTGAAGTAGCACTTTAATTGAAATTAGCATGATTTTACATTTAATCATCAGATTTAGGATTAAAGGTCATTGATCTACATGTATTTACGAATGGGACTATTACATAAAAAAATACTTCAAAAAGTTTTTCTTTTCTTTTTTTTTCATTGAAAATAATCTCGATTTTTGTTGCCATTTTGAAAGCTAAAGCAGATAGTTGAACTTTTTTTAACACATTTATAATAGCTCTTTATTTTTCTGTTTTGAAGTACTTTGCTGGAGCCCCCCTTTTTTCTTAGTTAATTATTTTGCACTCATGACTGATAGTACCACCTGCTTCATTTCTAAATTCTGTAAACAATTCCTTTTCACATATATATTTAATCTATGTTATGCAATCAGGGTCAGTTTTAATGATGATATAACTATCACATATTTTGGCATTTAAAAAATTAAATATAGTACAAATCCTCAAGGGAAAATATTGTCAACATAGCTTCTTTACCTTATGGAATGATGTATCCTTTTTATTTACCAGCAAAACAGGCCACTCCAGAAATTTTGAGTCCCTTAACAGACGAAACTGCTGTTTGTGGAAAATCTCTTACTTTGAAATGTGACATGAATGGTAATCCTTCACCCATGATTGTGTGGAGGAAGGACAACCGTATTATAGGGAACACTAAAGATTTCCGCCAAACTTACCAGGATGTGACAGCAAAGTTACAAATTAGTGACATACACAAGGAGGACGCAGGGTGTTACGAATGTGTTGCTCGTAATGTTCATGGTGCTATTACTACTAAATGTTCTGTAGTAGTCAAGGGTAAGAAATTTTACAATTTTTTTTCTAGTTATAGCCAATCCAAATTTCCTATAAGTTTGTATGCAGACGCCAAACCAACTTTTCTTCAAATCAAGAATTAGCATCCAGAAAAATAAATTAATCCACCATATAAAAAATTAGGAATACACATGCACTTCTTTATACTCAATGTTCTATTCTTATACTATATATTCTACAGATTTTTCTTTTCAGAGATTTTTACACCCCTTTCTTATATTTGCAGGAAGTAACTCAGGGTCTGTTGGTGCTGAAGATAAAAGTAAAACACAGTTTGATTGGTTGGTTGGAAGGGACAAAAACACTCCAGTTATTGGAGATAAACAAAAAGAACCATCAATCAAGAGAAGTGAAAGTATGAAAATTTCATCGAATTATTCTTTAAGGGACAAATATCGTAAAGCTACTCAGCCAGATGATGCAATTAAAGAAACAACACATGAAACTCCAAATAAAGTTACAGTTTCTATGGAAACTATTGTGCAGAAAAATGACAATGACAATAAAGTTGATATCAACATGAATAAAACAAAATTTGAAGATCCTTTAAAACAAAAAGCAGCAATTGCTCGTTCAAAAGGGCCAGAGGACCCACCATGGAAAAACGTGACCCTAAGAAGAACTGAGAGTGCAAGAGCCCCTGTTGGCCGAAGAGAATCTCCCTTTCTTCGTAAAAGAAAAGAAGAATTGGCTGGTAAGTTGGAAGTTGGATCGTCTCCTCAGAACAATGATGATCCTTCAAAACTGGCTACAAAACCCCCTGGGTGGAGACCAGTCATTGGTGACAAAAAGGATTCAGATACACCGAAAGAGACTGAAGTTTTGTCATCATTAAGACAGGTCAATCTTCGAAGGTGTGATAGTGCTAGAAGTTTGAGGGATGAAATTAAACAAACAGGCAGCAATATTAGTGCTAATGCGCAACATGATGGTGGCAGCAGAACAGAAAATTTTAGTGCTGACAAGAAAACTGATAATGAAACTCCAAAACTAGGTCAAACAAGTAGTACACGATTGTTGTTCGAAAGAAAATTAGAATCAGATCAACCTAAAGACACACAATTAACAAATTTCCTCAATCGACCTGGTAGTGGACTTCGACGGACATCAAGTCTTAAAATAACACAAGCCGAGAGAGATGCAGGAACACGACCAGTAGTACATTCCAGAATGAATGGTGGACTTGACCTTGAACAATCAAAGGTAATTTATATATTTAAACTTGACTTGACCTTGATGAATCAAAGGTAATTTATATATTTAAACTTGACTTGACCTTGAACAATCAAAGGTAATTTATATATTTTAACTTGACTTGACCTTGATCAATCAAAGGTAGTTTATATATTTTAACTTGACTTGACCTTGAACAATCAAAGGTAATTTATATATTTTAACTTGACTTGACCTTGATCAATCAAAGGTAGTTTATATATTTTAACTTGACTTATCCTTGAACAATCAAAGGTAGTTTATATATTTTAACTTGACTTGACCTTGATGAATCAAAGGTTGTTTATGTATTTTAACTTGACTTGACCTTGATCAAGCAAAGGTAGTTTATATATTTTAACTTGACTTGACCTTGATCAATCAAAGGTAGTTTATATATTTTAACTTGACTTGACCTTGGACAATCAAAGGTAGTTTATATAGTTTTGATTTGTGTTTTAACACCAAGTTCATTTGTTTATAGGAATAGAAACAAAATGTTTGAGACGAATTAAAAGTGTATTCCAATACACGGTATATTGGTCTTACCTCCCACGGCAATGGCTCAGCCAGACTAACAATTACATAGCAGTACAATTTACTATGCATGGTAAAGTAAACTGGATCCCTGTTAGATTACTCTACTCTTGCAATCAACAGTCAATTTAAGCTAGTTGTAAACAATACCTGGTAAATTCTTAAACTGACCAATGTACTTTTATGTACCATAGTAGTGTATTTATAAACTAAACATACAGTCTTAAGGTCCCACATCAGTGAGACATTTTGGGGCCTCTTATAGCTTGCTATGCAGTTATGGTATTTGCTCATTGCTGAAGCCCATACGAATACCTATAGTTGCTAACTTCTACTTCATTTGGTCTGTGGTGGAGAGTTGTCTCATTGGTAATCATACCACTTCTTATTTTTATATAAAAAAAAACTTGGATCTTTTATAATTTTATAAGACAAATTTGTTTATATTTAGAGCACATTTTGTTATGCCGAAATTTCAAATACCTCAAAATAAATGGTCTATGCATGCTCTGACAATTCTTCAATTTTGTACTTGTAAACACTTTTAAACTAAAATATTTTAGAATGTCTTAAGATGTTTTGAAAAGAGAACAGCATCTTTTTAAAGTACAAAGTTTCTTATTTCTAAGAATGCATACTTTGTGAAATAAATCAGTTTGATGATTAATTCCACAGTTTGATGTTTTCAGTTCAATCCTTTTAAAAGTACATCAAAAAAGGTTTAACATTTCTGTATAAAAGAAGATCAAGTAGAGATTCTCTGTATGCCAGTGCTGGAAAACAAATTAGAACAATTTGTTCCTGTATATATTTGTTTATTTTTCACTTTGATTCCTTTGTCTTACTTGAAATAATAAATATTCAATTACGCACTAAACTCTAGAAACATTTTGGTTGCAATCGTTACGTAATTTTACTTCTGGTAGGTTTTTTTTTTTTTTTTCACTGATTATAGTAAACCTGATCGGAAGACCATTCTGCAAAAATTACATAATTCATTTCTGGTTAGTTTTTATTATTGGTTATAAATAAAACCCTACAGAATACGTGATGGGAAGACCATTTTGCAATAATTACATAATTTCATTTCTGGTTAGTTTTTATTATCGGTTATAAATAAAACCCTACAGAATATGTGACGGGAAGACCATTTTGCATTAATTACATAATTTCACTTCTGTTTTTTTTTTTTTTTTACTGTTAGAAGAAAAACACTACAGAATACGTGATTGGAAGACCATTTCCACTTTTGATGTACAAGTAACCTGTAAATGCAAAAGTTATGTAATTCACCAAGAAACAGGTTGAAAAGCTATTACAGATTCTTTCATCAAAATAAATGGTGCAGTTGTCTTGCATTATCAGGCAGTACCATTTGGCAAGTTTTTATGATATATTATCTGGTTATGGATAAAAGGAGATGCAGAATGTATGTCAAATCTGTAGAGGAGAACCAGGGGGTCTCTGGGACCTTAGTGGCCGAGTGGGCTAAGTAATCTGTCTAATAAAAACAAACATTTAAAAATCAGTTCTCTCTTTTGTTGCTTACTATAAGATGTTAGTTTTGCCCATTATTGAAGGCAGTGCTGTTACTAGTTGTTAACATCTTTGTCCTTTGGTCTTTGTTGGTTACCAGTAGTTGTTTCACTGACAATCAGAAGACATCTCATTACTTTTATATATAAACAAAACTAAAAAAATATTTTGATTTAAAATTTTTACTTGCCATAATCAACATGACAGGTGCCACAAGTGAAGCTGTATCCCTTCAGTATCAGCTTAGATCACCTCTGATGTTTGGTGGGTCTGTGTTGCTTGAGGTCTTTATTTTTTATGTAGTGTTATGTTGACTGTTGTATAGGGAAGCACCATTTAACTTCAAGTGGGTTATGTTTTGTTTTTTTTTCATTCTGAAATTTTTATGCCCCCGCCCTAGAGAAGGGGGCATTAAGGTTTATCTTTGTCTGTCTGTTGGTCTGTCCATCAATCGGTACTTGCGTCCCTAAAGTGGTTTCCGTTCTCTAACTTAAGTTTGCCACAACCAAATGTTATGAAACTTATACACAATGCTTATTACCAAAAAAACGCAGATCAAGTTGGACTTTGGATGGTGTCACTTTTAATGTTCTGGAGTTATGCCCCTTCATAACATTATATGCAAGTTATATCCCATGGACACATTCTCCATTTTTTTTTCTTACTGTACAAGCATCAAATTATATTTGTTTTCCCTTTTTTGGCCATGATGGTGTCTGCTTATCTTTATGGTTTTTGATTTAATCCTAGATACCTGTCTCTTTTTTGTCGAGCCTTCGACTTTAGTCGAAAAAGCGAGACATAGCGATCCTACATTCCGTCGGCGTCGTCGTCATCGGCGGCGTCCACAAATATTCACTCTGTGGTTAAAGTTTTTGAAATTTTAATAACTTTCTTAAACTATCCTTGATTTCTACCAAACTTGGACAGAAGCTTGTTTATGATCATAAGATAGTATCCAGAAGTAAATTTTGTAAAAATAAAATTCCATTTTTTCCGTATTTTACTTATAAATGGACTAAGTTTTTCTGCCGGGAAATATTACATTCACTCTGTGGTTAAAGTTTTTAAAATTTTGATAACTTTCTTAAACTATCCTGGGTTTGTACCAAACTTGGACAGAAGCTTGTTTATGATCATAAGATAGTATCCAGAAGTAAATTTTGTAAAAAAATAAATCCATTTTTTCCTTATTTTACTTTTAAATGGACTAAGATTTTCTGCCAGGAAACAACACATTCACTCTGTGGTTAAAGTTTTTAAAATTTTAATAACTTTCTTATACTATTTTGGATTTGTACCAAACTTGGACAGAAGCTTTTTTATGATCAAAAGCTAGTATCTAGAAGGAAATTTTGTAAAAAAAATAAATCCATTTTTTCCTTATTTTACTTTTAAATGGACTAAGATTTTCTGCCAGGAAACAACACATTCACCCTGTGGTTAAAGTTTTTAAAATTTTAATAACTTTCTTATACCATTTTGGATTTGTACCAAACTTGGACAGAAGCTTGTTTATGATCAAATGCTAGTATCTAGAAGGAAATTTTGTTTTCTTCCAGTTAACATTACATTCAGTCTGCAGTTAAAGTTTTTAAACATTTATTAGATTCATAAACTATCCTGGATTTTTACCAAACTTGGACAGAAGCTTCTTACAATCAAAAGATAGTATCAAGAGGAATATTTTTATTGATTTACTTCCTCATTTTTGTTGAGCCTGCGATTAACAGAAAAAGTAGGCGAGACACTGGGTTCCGCTGAACCCTTACAAATTTTTTTATGGTAATGAAACACAAACAAAAGAGTTAAAGAAAGAATCTTAGTTGTAATAGCATTGTAATTATTTCTTTAAGTAGAACTGTAATTGCATGCACAAAAACTTTGGAAGTAGTTACCTGCAATCTTTTCTTTCTCTGTGTTTTTGTATGATACCAGACAGTCGTTATGCAATTTATTGTTAGGAGGCTTTGAGAATCTCAGAGATTTATTTGGAATGAAAACTCGTTCTTTCAACAAACTTTTATTGTTTGGTGCATGATTAATTTTAACTAGATAGATTGTTGTGTTAAAGGCGTTACTAAAGAAAAATAATTCAGATTACAGAATAAAAAAAATATGTATTTCAAAATAAACAATACTTTCCTCTGAAGTTGAATGAAAGGTGTAGGAAAAACAGTTGATATAAAAAGATAAACAGCCACATCTTTAAAAGATATGAAACAGGCATATGAATCAGAAAGAAAGTTTTTGGTGAAAGAAAAAATCCATATATAAATTGCAAAATTATTTTTGATTGCTTTTTAACTCAGTAGAGCGCACCTGACCTAGTCATTTAAATGATAAGGTGCACTTGATTAATAGCTGTCAATTATACTCACTTATCCTGAACAAATATTTTCAAGGAAATTTATAATGTCTTCTTATGCATAGCTAAAGATAAATGATATGTTAAGAAAATGTTAAGTTAAACACAAACTGTCTCTAGGTTTGACAAAATTGGGGATTGTGGGATCCCTGCTTGTCAATTCTGCAACCTTCAGTAAATTCACATTTTTCTTATTTTATGTATCTGATGAATTAACATTGTTTTTTTTCTGATGCTCATTTTTCCGGCCGCTGGAAGGAAATATTAGAGTCAAACAAGCATATTATTTGTCTGTGTCATCTGAATGTTTGTCTGGTATAACTTATAGAAGAATTATTGAAAATGTATGAGTTAGACATAAGTTTTTCATTTTTTTAGTTAAAGCTAAAATTACACTAGCAAAACATTTAACTCTTAAGATTTTTTTGTTACGCAGTAAGTTCTAGTCTTATTATTAGTGAACAAACATTTTCTCTTACTTTTACCGTTTTCAAATCATTTTGATTTCCCTTTTCTTGTTTACAAAACTGCACAGGAACAATTTAGAACT